AATTTAACTAGGAAGGAATAAAATATAAATTAAGGTTAAAAATGAAATAACTGTACAACACAAATTAGAATGAAGGGTAAATTTAACTGGGAAAGAATAAGCTAAAATATATAAATTAAAGTTGAAAATAAAATAACTGTACAACAAAATATACAATATAGAACTATATAAGACTGTATGAAGAAATCTAAATCTGGGTAAAACCTGGCCCAGAGGTAAAGTAGGTGTCCGAGAAGAGGACTGTGTTGAAAGCTTGGCATCAACTTTTAAGAATGATTTGTAATGAATTTTTGAATATGCAACCAGACTGTCACGATGGCTGTATCGGGCTGTTCCATTGTCATTTGTGTTCGCGCGCGCGCACGTGGGTGCGAGTCTAGGCTTTCAATCAGGATATGAAGCGAAAAGGCGCTACCGTAAAGACTGGTGTAAAAGCGCAAGGAAATTTATGCGGCGGATAGGAGGCGGCTGGCTTGACCGCGGCTCACAAATGACGGCTCACTTTACCGCGGTCTTTTACCGAGGCTGAGAAAGGACCCAGACGTTGACTAATTTGGGGCTTGATACTCTGGAGCATAAACATTGTCATCCAACATTAATGTCCTCACGACAGGATTTTCCAGCAGCTCACTCAAATCAAAGACGAAGATGAAAATTAAAGACGATGCCTCTCAGTTCAGCGACAGAAGATGTCCTTCAGAAAGTTCAGAGGAAAACTGGAGCAGATTTCTGGAAACGTCTCCTAGAGAGCCAACCAGAACCTACCAAACCAGTCACATGACCTCAGTGCGCGCGCACGCACGCACACACACACACACACACACACTAAAGTTCTCATACAGCAAAGAAATAGTGAGTCTTTGGTTTGTTGATCATCAGATTTTTTTAATTGATTTTGAAAAATGAAGAAAGGTCTGATTTCAGAGTAAGCAGCGTCAGCCTCTCTCCTCACAGCTGTGCAGGAAAAACTTCGCTCTTCAGAAACTTATAAAACTCATATTTAATATACTGAGAGCAGCTCCTGAGACTGCGCTGCCCCCTGCAGGCCACAGATGGACACTACAGCTGCACCGTTACTTTCTAATCGTATGCAAATTGATTTTCTTCTTTTATTCTCTGCATGAAATGTGTTTGTAAACAAAGTTCACATAGAAGAAATATTATTCTGAGACGACAGAGCAGAACTGCTGAAAGTGTTACAGAGCAGGAAAATGTCAGTAATATTAACAACGATGATGACCTACAACACAATCATTCGCTTTAAAAAGTGCATCACAGTGACAACAAAATAAAACCTGAAACAACGAGTGAAGCCCGAAAAAGTGCAGGAAGCATTTCTCAGCACCAGCCTCTCGAGCCTCGCTTCACTGCTGTGTTCGACGCTTCAGTTTGCTGAGTAAACGTTTGCAGCGTCGCCTCGTCAGGCCGCAGAGACTCAAACTAAAGCGGTTTGACAGGGACCAGGAACCTGCGACATTAAGGCATTTTATTACTTTTCCAAAGACACCGTGACTGCTGGGACCTCATTCCAGGCAGAAGCTTTGGTTTTGTCACACGTCCTGTTTAGTTTAAGTCACTTTCATTTAATTTAGGCTTCTGCATACTGGTACCTGAGGGCAGTAAGAGGTCAGATCAGAGGTCAAAGTGAGGCTATGAGTAGCTTCTAAAGCATCACGTGAGGCGTGTGGTTTCATCTGTCAGCTCTGAGGAAAGCTCG